ATCCTGCAGTCGGAGATGTTATCAATTTACTGTTCGACCTCGTGATTGACCTCCTGTAAGAGACTGTAACAGACACTTTGGTTGTTCCTTTTGTGCAGACTTGGTTGATGGAATCTGTCATTACTCAATACCCAGTCAAAGTATCCATTATAATCCTACAGAAGGTCAAGTGGCAACCCAAATAGCTCGGGGGTAGTGTCGCTGGCTGCAACACTGTGGGTGACATAGATTCGAATCTCAGGAGCGCCATGCGATTGTTCTTGCCGACTGATGGGTGTCAACAGGCAGCACAAAACACTCACCGAAACACTGACTTCTCTCTGGAAGTTGAGTCTGACTCAATGTTTCATTTTATCAATGTTCAACTGTGAAGATTCATCTAAAAGAAGCCCACAAGCAACGGACAGTTTGTGGTGGGAGCTGTCTACCAGCCAAATTGGTAGACAGTAATTTACATCAATGTTTATTTACCAAATATTGGTTATGTGAAAATAAGAACAAAGACTGACTAAACAGCCAGTCACACCAGACTTTGCGTAGGCGAATACAATTAGCGGATAGATGACCTGACCCTCATGAAACAGCCACAAAGAGATTAAAGATTAACTTTCAGTGAGAAACAACCAATCAGAAGACTGTGTTTTTCTGCTGACAATAATCTATAATAATGTACATGAAAATATATAAATATGTGTTCATCACCTGAACAAACGAACTGTTGCCTGGCCCTTCTGTTGTTACAAGTTTATCAACTTTCAAAGTTGTGTTCCTCTAAGCAGAAATAGAAACCTAATATACTCCCTTCCCTCGAAGATGCGGAAAATTTTCACTGAGGAGTCAATTGACGAAAAATTGCGTAATCTCCGAGGAACCATGATAGAAAATGATTTCCCACTCAGATTCATAGACAAGAATGCAAACCTACAAGTGACATTTTTTTGCAAAAAACTATTCAGCTAGCACACAAAAGACAACCTGTCATATTGGGCCACTTCAACATGCATATACCAGTTTACTTAATCGTATGGATTTAAGTACATTGGCCGTACCATGCGCCCGCTTGTAAAACTAACTCGGCGACACTACTCAACCTGGCTGAATAGCAAAGGGAGAAGGCAAGGGGGTATACAGTTCAGTAACAGAACATCAGGTGAATTCAGGACATTCAGCTCCACTTGAAAAGTCCTTCAAAGTCAAATCAAACCTCTCAAAGGGAGTGAAGTCGAGTCGTCTGGTTGGGAAATGCTGAGGTACTGGTCATCCAAATACTCAAGCCCATGCTATATGTTCAAAAGAGATACGTACAACCATTGTCCCTACTGTAGCCATCATGAAAAGTCAGTCCCACCAATTATGATTACACTATTACCTTTATTTAGTGCGTCGGTGGCATAGCGGTTATGACGCTCACCGACGATGCACATTGTCCGGGGTTCGATCCCCGGCCACTGACGCACTCCTTTACCTCACTAAGCCAGAAATAATGCTGGTAAGGAGGAAAGGTTTGGCATGAGGCTAGCAACCCCATCCTGTAAAAATAATCACCACTGCTACAGAAACTTCAAGCGTCTAGCTTGAATCCCTATGTTCCACTGGGGAACGTGAAGGAAAAAAAATTACCTTTATTATTCAACCTTCCTGTTTATTTCATATGTGTCCAAACCAAGTTCACTTTTAACAGTTTTAAAAATTTGGGCATTGGGTGGCATATGATATTCATTACAATAAAGGTTGTCCATTTGTATTTCTCAATGAATGAATGAAAAGGACAAAACGATATTGTTGTTCTGTCTACTGACGTTTCGCTATTCATTAATGCTGCTGCTAATAGCTTTATCAAAGTGTGATGAGAGCAAGCTGCTAGCCAGTTGGTAGACATTAATCTACGTAAATGTCTAGGTCACTAATATTGGCCGTGAGAAAATATGAACAAGGCTGATTCAACGACCAATCACAGCAAACTTAACGTGGGCAAATATGATTCGCAGATAGATGGCTCCACTTTTCGATGTTACCCGAAACAACTAATCAGAAGCCTGCGTTTGTCTACTTGAATAAGCCATAATAATGTATGTGAAATATATATAAATACGTGTTGATTTCTGTAATAAAACGATCTGTTGCCTGGCCCTTGTCTTCTGTTGTTACAAAAGTAGTATAATTAAACCGGAATTTACAAAATCGCCTCACCTTATATGTAAAAACTTAATAATCAACCGTTCCTCAGCATCGGGTCATTTTTCGTTGTCAAATTGGCCAATTGGTAAAGATAACAAAACCAGGTGTAAATGACTGTTGGATTTGATAAGTGTGTAAAATTATAAAATCACCGTGTGCTTACATAATGACTTTGCTTATCCAACATTCGTGATGATTTTGTCACTTCATGACGAAGGGGGGGTGTTGTAGCCGAGTCAAATTCTGTTTTAATCCATCATTCCTATTCAGCTCAGACAATTTGGATTCCATCTGATGATATGAAGTGCTTCTGGTGATATTAGACGTTCTTTGTGATTTCTGAAATGCTTTTCCTGGATGATGATTTCAGTATTGTCAAAATCAATTTTGTGGTCTGATTCTAAAGCGTGTAGACCGATGGCTGATGATTTTTCAAGCTTTTTTATTCCAACTGGATTTCTCGGTGGTCGAATAGAAGCGGTTCTACGGTGTTCATTTCTTCTCAGCTTGATTTCGCTCTGGTGATGCTTGTCCAATGTAAATCGCAGCACATTCAAAGCAAGCATTTTATTTTATAGACACAAATAGATAGAGAATCTTTAAGGATTTCGTCTTTTATATGGACAAGATTGCTCTGTAATGTGTGTGTGTCTGATGTTTTGAAGAAAACTCTGATGTTGTAACTATTAAGTACTCTTGTGATATCGTCTGACGTCTCCACTGTATATGGAATGACAACTGCTGAGGTCCATCTTTTCGGAATACATTTTCGACCATATTCAGTATTAGTGTTGACTTGGTTGAAGAAGTTCCTGTTTATTTCTGTTATTTTTATGTTTGTAATTCCTATCTGCAATGCCAGATTTGGTTGCTGTTATTTTAAAAATTTTATATGTATCTATCCCAACTTCCTATCTAATGTGTTAATACTACGTCCTTTGATGTGGTTTTTTTCTCTGAGCTGGATGGTTAGTTTGCGAAGCTTTCATCACCTTACTGGATGTCGCCCAGTAAGGTGATGAAAGCTTCGCAAACTAACCATCCAGCTCAGAGAACAAAACCACATCAAAATCATCCACCTGAGCTACAAATCTTCTCTATCATATCTAAACTACGTCCTTTATTCGTAATTTGAACAGACAATCACTCCATCCACTACAGTCCTACAGGAGATCAATCATGAGCCCAAACAACTGACTCAGTGGTAACGTCTCTGATTGCAGGCTGTGCTGGGTGGTGAGGGTTCGAATTTCAGAAAGAGGGACATCAGTTCTTTCATGTTGGTTGCAGATACGCCTTGCCCTGACTAGTGAGTGGAAACTAGCACGAAACTCAGGCGTGTCCAAGGCTTCCTGTGGCCGATTGCCTCCAACCATCATCAAATATCATCAAATCAATGTGCACCGTGATGGCGAGCTAGCTACCTAGTGGAATGGTGGCCTCATTGCAAACCTGACTGACTGGTAGAATTCAGTCTGCATCAAAAAAAGGAGGACTAGACGCATAACACTAGTTACTGACTGGTGTTCAATCAAACAGTTAATCTTTTCAGCAATTATGAACATATTATGTCTTGATTCCGTCTAGTAGTTTTATTAATTTAACCTTTGACCGGAAATAATTATGGAACTCTCTCACACACTGAATATCGATCCACGAATATACAGCTATCTAGTTGATGATTTCGTTGAAAAGAAGATATTCTTCGGTTTAACCGACTTTTTAAACAAAAACTAGATGCTGAAATTTTCCCTCAGATTTCCTTTAAGCCATTAACGCTATAATCGTTTCACTAACCAATTGAAATGCTCTGAAGAATTAACTATGCTCTACTGAATATGGGAAAAAAGAGGTGATGGAGATTCCTGGCCAACAGCAACAACAACAGTAACAAACAACAATCAGCATAAATGGGAGAAATCTGGAAGAATCGCCGTCCGCTACCTACCTACCTACCTTCCTAGGAAGAGTAGTTTCAACTACAGGCGGAAAAGAAATAATGGGGATATCAAACCAGCGAGGATCATCGGGAAAGCAAGACAAGCTTTCATTACTCTCAAGTCTGTTCGGGAGAGATCAACAGTACCACTCAGCATGAAAATGAAAATAACATCTGGATTTGCAACTCCAATGTGAAGTCAGTACTACTTACTATACGGATCAAAGACTTGGCGCCACTCTGCGCCGCGCCGCGCCGTGCCGCGTCACTCAGGACACTTCGAAACAAACTACACACCTGCATCAACAGCTGCCACCTTCACTCAATACTACTAAAGGTTAGATGGCCAACAGGAGAAGAAGATCACCACCATTAGGGATCGCAGCGAACGAACCGACTATGCAATCAATATGTAGGAAGAAATAAAGCGAGGATTGACTCTGATTTGAGAAAACAAACCATCAAGTGAATGACATCACACGCCAGAACATCGCTCAAGTGGAACACGAATGGGAGACAGCGAGTTGGTTGGTCGTTAGTGCGATGATGGGGTGACATGGAAGAGGAGGAGGTCATGCAAAGTGGAGATGACAGCATGTGAGCAGACGTGGAGGCCAGGTGATGAAAACGTTAGCAGAAAACCGAATGCAATAATAACAATATTAACACTAAATATGATCATCAAAGAGTCGATAAAAGAAATGAGTGAATTTAAATATGTATATGAATCAATATCACGTGAATCGATCGATTCATATACTCACTCACTCGCACACCTTTATATACTGAGTGTATAACAAAATCAGTTGAATTCCACATTATAGTCATAGACTACTATTCCTTTCGCATTAGTAGTATATATATATATATTCATTTTCCAATTATGCCAAATAATTGTCGATATCCAGTTTATACTCGTGATCTGTATCCTATCAATGTGTTATATCCCTCTGTGTATACAACAGAGCTTAGTTGTCTACAGAATGTCTTCAGGGAATATTATTACATAATTATCAATTGTATAATCCCGTATACATCTATACTCAACATTCTAACTGGTATCCCATTGATTGTTCTGCTCAAATTGAAAGTGAAACCGACGAATTATTATCTACACAACTGGGGTATATTTATCCTACTCAATCATATCGCCTATATCCTCATCACCCTATTCCAATGGTTATCTTATCTAATCCATTCGAAACCACTGACCATTTCATCCGATTTGATGTGTAAACTGATGAATTCGACGTTTCGTTTCATCACCTACATCCAGTTTAATTCAACTATTTTAATTATTAGTCGTGAACTCTTAGTGTATAATCGGCGACTTCGTCGATGGAGTCGTGAATTCACTCTAATGCATAGTACACCCTCTAAATCAATATTTTGGTTAATGCTTAGTTTAAGCATTCTCCTGTCGATTCTCCAGACATTACCAAGTTATTTTATCAGTCAGTTGAAATGTGACAATCACGAGAATACTAAAACTGATACTAATAATAATTCGACAGTGACAAGGAGAAGTGATGTGGTTGTTCAATGTCAGTGTATTATACAACCGATATGGTTGAGTATATCCGAGGACTACACCGCTTGGTATAAACTACATCGAATTGTGTTTTGTGAAGGTGTACTGCCTATCGTCTGTTTGATATTTCTCTCACAGAAATTATTGTTGAAACTGAAAATCCATTGTCTTATTGTACAATCTATGCGACATGATATTTCCTCTAGTCAGGGATTGTACACCACCCTTCAAGAGGTATTCAACAATACCATAGGCGATAGTAACAACAACCTGAAGATTCTCTATATTTACACATTGGCGTTAATTATCTCTTCACTGGTATATTGTGTCTATTACACGCTAATCTATTATGTATACTCGATGGATGTTGAATATAATATCCTACGTTATTACCTGGATGATATCCCGACAGGATTATTATTCATCGATGGGTTAGCTCTAGTGATACGGACTATATCATATAACATATTTCTAATTCTCTGGTATAAATACATCCCAGAGATAAACATGCTTGGACAACATCTATGGTGTAAACTGATGACACAGATTTCGGCAAAGTGTAGGCTTATCTTTCTACGATCATTTGGTGTCTACTTCCTTCGGTATGCATCAAAATCACATCATCATCATCAACAACTGAGTGCTTATAGCCGTCGTCGACGTCAGCGTCGTCGTCGCAGCCGTCGTCAATATCCATATCTATCGCATTCTGTAAATCGGACATCTTATCGATCGGATCAATCAATTCCACGTGAGCGAAATCTGTCTAAGCCGGAATATTATTATGCTAAGATGATGAATCTATCAAAAGAAGGCTTGGAGACACTGAAATCTGGGTCAAAATTGAATGCACTGCTGAGAAGAAGATCATCATCAAAACAGTTGGATTGAATGGACTACTTAAATTCTTGAATTTCAGTAATACAATAAATAAAGTATGAAATAACTGAGGGAATAATTGAAAAAAAATCTGGTGTAAATATTAATAAGAAAATTGATTTGATTTGTTCTTTTATGCATCTTTCTAAATATTTCTGACATTCAATTTTTAACCCTAAGCCAAAAATCTTGGTAGTTTATGAATGCCCGTTGAGTAGACGAAAGCCGTCAGCCTACTATCGATCGTCAGCGATGATACTGTTGGTCGTGATGAACTGGTTTATGCGTCTCAGACTGTGTGAATAAGCTACAAGCTAACACCGTTTGTTAATCATTAAAATAAAGGTTTTTGTATTTCCCAATTAATGGAAAACAAAACGATATTATTGTGTTTACTGAAGTTTCGCTATTTAATGCTGCTTCTAATAGCTTTCTCAAAGTAGTATCATGAAACCGGAATTTACAAAATCTCCTCAGCTTATATATAACAAAGAGTTAAGAGGTGAGAAAATAGACTTAGGTCTAGTTAAAGGGACATACTGAAAGTCAAAATAACAATGAAGATCAATAAACCAAATAACAAAGGTAATAGTGTAGCGACAGAAGACAAGGGCCGGCAACAGATCGTTTTATTACGGAAATCAGCACGTATTTATATATATTTCATGTACATTATTATAGCTTATTCAAGCAGACAAACACAGTCTTCTGATTGGTTGTTTCTCGCTCAAGGTGACTGGTTTCTCGAAAAGTTAAGCCATATATCCGCGAATCTTATTTGCCCAGGTCTAAGTCTGCTGTGATTGGTTGCTGAATCAGCCTTGTTCATATTTTCTCACGGCCAATAATAGTGACCTAGACATTGAGGTAAATTAATGTCTACCGATTGGCTAGCAGCCTGCTTTCACCACAATAGCACGTCTATTATGATATCAAAATAAAGTTTACTAACTTGATCATCGTTCGTCTGTCTGGGGTCGTTTTTTTGTTGTCAGGTTGGTTAATTGGTAAAGATAACAAAATCAAATGTAGATTGTGGATTTGATAAGTGTATGAAATCATATAAAAGCTGTGTGTGTTTACATAGTGAACTTGCTTATCACATTCGTGTTGATTTCGTCATTTGATGTGGGAGGGGGGTGTTGTAACCAGATCAAATTCCATCTTAGTTCATCATTCCTATTCAGCTCAGACAATTTGGATTCCACTTGATATGAAGTGCTTCTGATGATATTAGACGTTCTTTGTGATCTCTGAAATGTATTTTCTGGATGATGATTTCAGTATTGTCAAAATCAATTTTGTGGTCTGATTCTAAAGCGTGTAGACCTATGGCTGATGATTTTTCAAGCTTTCTTGTTCAGCTGGATTTCTCAGGGGTCGAACAGATGCTCCACGGTGTTCATTTCTTCTGACTGCCTTGATTTCTCAAGATATTTGTCCGATGTATATCGCATCACATTCCAAAGAAACATTTCATTTGATAGACACAATTAGATAGAGAATCTTTAGAGATTTTGTCTTTTATATGGACAAGGTTGCTTTTTAGTGTGTGTGTGTGTGTCTGATGTTTTGAAGAGAACTTTAATGTCGATCACAATCAAACGATTCAAACCAGACTTATGCGTACAGACAGACAGACAGAGGGTGTGATTAATCTCTCACTCCCTTGATTACTGAATTTCCATTTTGATTACATTAATTAGTCATCTAATTCAGTGATCTCAACTGACTGAGCAAATCTCAATCTTATAAACTGAAACCCTGCTTTTGGTTTTTGAGTTGCTATGTGAACAAGCTACAAGGTGACACTGTTCTGTTAATCTTTTCAGTTTTTTGTCTAACCCCTCGCCCTGCCTCCTCTCTACTACTTTGAAAGCCTACAAATTAATGATGAAAACTTAAACTACAAATTGTGATGCAGCTGGCATTTTGGTTGCGTCAATTTCATAGTATTTCTTCTCTATTGCCACTTAAACATTAAAGTATGTCGCTATTATCATCTATGTAACCATTGTAATTTCAGGTAGTGATGTCCAGGTGATGAGAATCTGTGAAACATAATAATGATGGTGATATCATTTTATACTGCAAATCTGGTCTTTTTTACTCTTTCGAAATTTATCAAGGGAACCAAATTTATAAAGGAATATTGCTCCATCTGAAGCACACTGTAATACTTCAAAATATCGTCCCTTATCCCCTTCGTCAGACATTGGGAAACGAGAAGAGAAACAGGGATATCCTGGACCGACGTGAACAACATAGAAGACTTGGATTTCGCGAGTGGATGATTTATCTTTAATGTCACTGTCACAAAATCGAAGACTTACAAGCAAAAACCGACAAACTGGTCGAAAAAGCAGCCAGAGAAGACAGGATTCCAGGTGAACGTAGACAAGACGCGGAGGTTATGAAAATAACCAACCAACCAACAACAGCAGCAGAAACATCAAGCGCCAATCAACATCAACAGGAGGGATTTAAAAGAGGTTACACTTCATTCACTTATCTAGAGAGCATTGTCTCAACTACAGGTTGAAACGGACGAGGATGTCAAATCGAGCGAGAATCGGAGAGGCAGGCGAGAAACACATTCATCAACCTGAAACAACCAATCTGGAAATCTTCCGCTGTCACTCAGCCAGCATCAACAACAAAATTCAGTTGGATTTTCAATACAAACACGTCGTCAGTCAGTTCTTCTATGCGGATAAGAAACTTGGCAGGCGGGTCACGAAGAATATCTCCAACAGCCTGTCTCAGACGTTTATCAATCAACAACTGTCTTCGCTGGCTGTATACTGAAGATCAGATGGCTCAAAAGAATCACCAACTATGTAAACAAACAAAACAAAAACCAATCGCCAACCAACAAATATGCAGGAGAAAGTGGAGATGGACTGGACGCTGACTCGCTGAGGAGGCTGCCGGGTGACATCGCGCGAGCGTCAGTCCATTGTCCGAGTGGAACCAGACCGAAAGGGAAGCGGCGGGTGGGACGTCAGTGCGAGGGTGACATGGAGGAGATCGTGTGAAAAGGAGTTGAAACAGTCAGTGTGGACTAACCTGGCTCCAGGTGAAAAGTACAGCAGAAGGAAGACAGACGTGGCAAGTGAAGACGTGCAGTTGAAGCCCTATATTCCACTAGGAACCCAAGGGAACAATAATAATAATATTATAATAATCCCCTTCGAAAAAATCATGATGATATTTCTTTGCATTCGTAGGGTAACATACCGCCTGAAGCCATAACTTTGATGTTTCAGTGACAATAGTTTCATTCTTTAAGGAGTCGGGTTGCTAACCACACATCCATCTCTCCCGTTTAACCGGCTTCACTACCGCCTTAGCGAGGTTGGTTTGGGCATCGACACGGGGTTGATCTCCAGACCACATGTGCTGTACCACAGATGTGACAGGCAACAGCTCATTTAAAAAGACACATTAGTATAGATTTCGATTTGAGAAGACATGTGGAGATAACTGAAAGACAATTTGAAGTGTGCAGTACATACAATGTATCGGGATGGATAGAAAGCTTAGGTAGTTCATAATCGATTAAAGCAGACTTGATAGGAATTCCATATTAGTTTGTTTATTAGATGTACTACACATTCAGTGAAACAGTATCATTTACTAGATGAAACAGTTTTGAACAAAATTGATTGTTTATAATCATGTCATCAATTATAATCAAATGACTTCGAAACTTGAGTTTTATAGTCTTCTTTGTTCTCTCCTATTTGTCGTCGTAGGGGTAATAGAATTTTCCAAATATCCAACTGGACAGGTGTTGAATCATTCCTACTACATGTATTTTCAGTTGATTCGATAAATAAAGCTTTTGTTATCAATCTCTCCCTTCACCCTGATGTTACATTAGACATAACATAACATAAGCTTTATTCCAAATCAGTACTTGTGATACAGAATGGAATTCTCAGCATTTTACTACAATATTGCATCCAGTTTTTTACATTAACAATAAATAAAGTTCTACATAAATTAAATTAGATTTGAAAACCGTCATCTTATTCCACCCATCCTATTGTATGCCTGTGTTGTGTGTAATTGCATGTAATGCTTGCGATACCTGAACTATTCTCCACATTTCTTATCTTATTCGAGTCAACTAATCTAGATTTTGCTGCTAAGTATTTATGTTCGACTAGTCTGACTGCCCCTGTTCCACTAATTTGACCTGTGTATTGCACCTGACAATCATCGCAGGCAGGGTATTAGATAAACTGAATTGTTTTGTTTTAAAGGCTCCACTGCAAACACGTGTAATAGGAATGATTCAACACCAGTCTAGCCGGATATCTGGAACATTCTACTACAACACCCACGACGGTAAAGAGGAGAGAACAAAGAGAACTATAAAACTCAAGTTTCGAAGTCGTGTGATTAGAATCCGTGATATGATTATGAACAATAAATTTTGTTTGAAACGTCATCCAGTAGACACTAATACTGTTTCACTGACTGTGTGATATATCTAATAAACAAACTAATATGGAACAAGTGGTCATATACACACACACACACACGAAGTAAATCAGAAAAATCTATACATAAACATTGAATTCTCACCGCCTGTCTCTGATATTCTTGGTTGGTTGGTTGGTTGGGATGGGGGGTGGGTTCTTGTTCTGTAAACAATCCTTCTCTGAACTTTGTCATGTTTTTCTCTTTACCCACGACACCCACCCAGTGTCACACACCTCCCCAATCCCACTTCACGTGTCTCTTCATGTATGTGTCAAAAGACACATTATAACTCTTCCTTATTTGAAAATCCGGTAGGCAACAGTTAGGAAGGCAAACCGCTGGAGTGTATCTTTCAACATCAGGAGAGAAAAAAAAGGAGGCGGGTGGGGTAAACACCGAAGAAGAAGAAGGTAGTTGTTTAGATAAATAAACATTTTTGAAAACAAAACAAAACATCTAAACATGTAAAACACGTAAACATGTTATAGTTGCTAAGCAAGGTTGCTAAGGATTGCTAC